TTTTATTGGCCACTAATCCTGCATTGATGTAGATAAGGCCCTCTAAGCCTGGATTTGAGCTTTTGCCTATGCAATCAGTCCTACACTAAATCCAATTCCTCAAGGGCTGAACCAAGCTCCCAGAAAGCCTGCGGACATCTATATAGACTAGGGTTTAAGTTTATAGGGTTTGGGGTTTACATTCTATGTAGGGTTTATATATATATAAGGTTTAGGGTTTAGGGCTTAGGAACAAACGATCAAGAAATTGCAGCCATTGGCTGCACAAAGCTCCTATCCTGGGCCCTTATCTGCCCTTGCCGAGGCCAGGGAAGATGCAGTGTGCACGTCATGCAGTGCGTGTGCGTGCAGCAGTCGCATCCAGGCCATGGCCGTGATGCACAGCCATTCCTGCGATGAGGTCCAACCAGCTCGTTTAAGGGATGATGTATTTCAAGCTTTCGCGTTGGCTTTTGTCAATCTAGTACGGTGTGTTACGTAAGCCATTTGGCCCAATCACTAGAAGCCTTTCCGGATTAGGTTTTGGTTTCCCCATGGCTGATACTCCTGCGGGGTCGACTTCAAGTGGTGGGTGCCCTGTTTTGGAAGCTTGGAAGGCTCTTCCTGGAGTAGTGGAACGGGTGGTTAAAGCTGGGCGCATTTGTCATGTGGGCAAGAATGGCGTTGACCGGCAATGTGTCATCGACAATGCTGATCTCATCGAGCCCATCATAAACACACATGGAGCCCTGACTGATATAACTTCTGCTCGAAACTGCTTTAGCCCCTGACCTACAACTCAGCTCCTCTAAGGATGCCGGCCGGCTGTACACGTCATGGAGGATCTTGCTGCACGCTTCTTGACAAGCAACACCCCTCGAGGGAAACCCTTGCCCACTCGCTACTGGACCTGCAAGACTTGGGGAATAGCATGGGTATGTTTCAATGTACAATCTGATTTTTTTCGGGGCCCAGCTAAGGTGACATGATGCGGCTTGAGGGTTGGATACTGAGACGCTTGGTATCTAAGTTTACCAGGATTGCCAAAAAACCGCATACGCCTCGGAGTCACACCTTGCGGACTTTGATGACCAGCGTTGGCATGAGTAGCTTAGTTGCCATTACAAGGGTACTTGCTGGATGCATCTTCTGAGTTCTCATAGGAACCTGTCTCCATACTTAGTGCGCAATGTTGTCTCCGAAGACCTCGACCCAGAGGCTGGCACTGATGATGAGGAAGCTTCTGATACCGATGCTGATATCACTATTGGGGAGCTGGAGAACCCTGTTAGGATGGAGGACACTGAACGTATTCGGCTGTGTTTGTTTGAGAGTATACACGTATGCACGTTACAGCATGACATTCCAAATCTTGCAGAGGACTCTGCGCCAATTCATTCTATGCCTACATGTAGGTACGAAGATTCGACAGAAAGCTCCTCTGCAAGCCTTGCAGTCCATGAAGCCCCTCCGGCCCCTCCTGCCTCAAGCTCCTTGCCTGAATAAATAGCCAACCTTGTAATGAAGCCCTCGAAGCAAATCAAATTTTGAAATTTCAGGCTCATCCAGTGCGTCGTCCTCGACGGTGAGTCCCAGCGCTGTCCATACTCCTTCGCCAAGAACCCGCCACTTGGATTCATGTGTGTAAACCTCCGCAAAATACTAGCTGCTAGCTGTAGTCAAGCCTGAAACCTTCGATCAAGCCCCTTGCATCCATCAAAGGCTTGTTCTCACCAAGTACTGGTGAGAAGACAAGCGAGCCGCCTCCAGCGAAGCCCAGACATGTGACTACGAAGTGCGGATGGATTTGCTTGGATTGTAGAAAGGTGGAGTTCCGGCTTAAGGATCTGCAATCCCAGCTTTGCAAAGGACTTGGTCTTCACAAGAAAGTCCTTTCAGCAGGGTACATGTGTCAGAAGTGCCCAGCCATCAGTGATGACATTAGCGTGTTCATGAATGAGGAGTGCCCTTGCAGTTTTGATGAGGGCAAGTCTCCTTCTCGAAGATATGCTTCGTCGCCAGCTGCCAGGCCAGCTGCTGACGCTCCTGAGTGCCCAGGTGCACGACACACGCCCCTAAGCATCCGCAAGCGGGCTGGGAGAATTGGAGGTGAGTATTTGGAGCTGCCGCATGTGCCACGCGAGTCTTTTGAGGAAGCAGGCCCAACAAAGCCCGAAGCAGCCCCAACAAAGCCCGAAGCAGGCCCAACAAAGGCCGAAGCAGGCCCAACAAAGCCCGAAGCAGGCCCAGGCAAGCCCGTGCCAGCCAGCAGTATGATGCCCGACCCAAGCGAGCCCAAGCGTGTGCCTAAACAAACCTGGGTTGACCAAACTCCGCCTGCTAAACCAGCTGCTGGAGCAAGCACCGAGCCTGCGAATACATACCCAGCTGAAAATTCCAAAGCAATGGCGAAAAGCAATGCAGTGCCCAACGCTGCTCCCACAACAGTAGCCTCTACGCCTAAGCACAAACCCATCCACCAGCCCATCGCCAGGTCTGAGGTTCAGTCTGCGCTCCAGGCGGCGCAGAGTGAGTTGAAGCAGTTGCTCCTGCAGCATGTGCCAACAATGGCACCTAGACGCAATTCGCAAGCATGCTTTAAACTAAGCTTCCCAATATATGACCCCCGAATTCCTCCCTCGCCCAGGTCATGATCCATCCCAGCTGGACACATGCCCGATGACGGCAACGGATGCCGATGCTTTAGCTGCTGCGCACGCTATTACGCCTGAGCCAGAGCCCATGAAGGAGGAGCTTCCAAACTCAGAGGCCTATTGTGCTGCAAACTCACACATGCGTCAGGTGGATCCGCCCAAAAGTGTTAGCACAGAGCCCGCGAAGCCTTTGAGGAGATGTCATTCGAAGCAAAATCCAAGTGGGTCGCCAAGCCACCCCGAAGATTGCCCAGCTAAGGATGTCCCGCCCAAAGTTCCCCCAAGCCACTCTAAGGATGCCCCAGCTAAGGATGTCCCCCCCCAAAGTTTCGCGAAGCCACTCTGAGGATGCCCCAGCTAAGGATGCCCCGCCCGAAGTTTCCCCAGGTGCTGCAGTAGTCCGCTCAGAAACATGTGTTTCGCCAGCGCAGCAGATTGCAGTAGCAGAGGCAGTGAATCCAGGATGCAAGAACCCGAAGGGACGAGGCAGGGGCAGGGGCCGTGGGGGCAAAGGAAGGGGGAGAGGTCGGGGCAAGAAGACACACGAGAGTGAGAATGAGGAAAAGGATGATGAGGATGAGGAACAAACCGAAGGGGAAGAGGAGGAGGAGCAGGAGGTAGATCCCGAAGCTCCAGCAAACAAAGGCGAACATCACCAAGGGCGGAAGCGTAAAGACAATGGTCAAGGTGCAGCGGGTGGCAAAGCAGCGCGAAAGAAAGATACAAGTAAGAAAGTGAGGGCCAAGGATGAAACGGCTATGGATTCTGAGAAGGATTCGGGAAAGAAGGCAAAGCCCCCAGCAACAGCAAAGGCAAAAGCCAAAGCAACAGCAAAAAGCAAAGCAGCAGCAGCGGACAAGCCAAAGGCAAAAGCAACCGCTAAGTGCACGGCAAAGGCTAAGGTGACGCCGCGGAGTAAGAAATCCGAAGGCGAGGCATCAACCGAGGAGAAGAAAGGTGTCAAGAGGTTAGCAGCTGACAAGGCTGGCGCGAAGGGTGAGGATGATTGCAAAGCGGCACAGAAGGCTAAGAACGCAAGAAAGAGCAAGGCATACTGCCGGGCCATGGCAGAGGCGCGGGCAAAGGGCGAAGAGGAGGAGATTTGCCGGGAAATTGCAAAGCAAGTACTTTAACTGCATAGCTTGTGCCTGTGTTTCCTCACGCAAGTACCTCACACGCTATGCTGATACACTTTTTGCTGCCTGCGTTATCTGAGGCATACCGGGAGACTGAGTGATTCGATTCAACTTTCGCTGCAAAGCAGCTTCCAAGATGCAGCTACATTGGGTATCATGAATGCTCAACACCATATAAGCCTCGACCACTAGATGCGTTACAGGCTGGATTACTTCATGCAGCTGCCAGGGGTGTTTGCGAATTTCGCACGGGGTGGGTCTCGAACGCATGCCAAAACGGTGATGCCTTAAGAGTCTTTGCCGGGAAAGCTTGATTTGATCATAGCATAGAACCTGGCTTGGCTTTCAAGTGTTTGCACATTGGGCCATGAATCGCAAGCCTTTTCCAGTGATCTGCTTCGTGGAACATGCGGCTTCAAACAACTTCTTGGCATATTTCAAATGCTGCAAGAACATACCCCAGCTTCCCTACACAATTGACTTCCGCACGGCAGGTGAGTCCTCCTGGATGCCCGGCAGACCTGAAGTTTGGGCGATTCGGGCGTCCATTGGAGGCGAGGTTTGCATATAGGGCTTTGGTCATAGGCTGTGCAAAGTATGCGGATCATGTTTTGGGAGCACCCCAGTTGGATTAGGAAGGATCAGGCTATATAGGGCTCAATGTGGTTATATATATATATCCGGTTTAAGATTATAAGTTTAGGGGTCAGGGTTGTATATGTATGGGTTCTATATAGGGTTTAGGGTTTCAGGGTTTATATAGCTTATATGTGGTTATATACGGTCTTTATACGGGGCTTTAGGGTGCTGTGCCAGAAGCTGATTTCCAGCAGTTGCAAAGATTTTTCACTCGAGCCTCTGGCTGGGATGAATTATTAAAGTGAGCTAGGTGCCATGTGTTGCGCAAGTACAACAAAGCTGTGGCCAGTTACTTCGTAGGGCAGGCCCCCTCCAACGTGCATTGCTTAAGTAGCTCCCCTGTTGTTGTCCAAGCCCCTGCAAGCCATGGACTCTGGAGATGTCTTCCGCGGACTTGTGCAAGTTCAGGCACCCAAGGCTGGGTCTGCGAATAATTATAGCGACAATACATGTAAATCAATTTTCGGCCCTAGGCGGATGTGTCCTGACAGGTGTTCATCGCCATTGCCACTTATCTACCACATAGCGGAATCTAGCTTTCAGGTACGCTGAAATCTTCGAATTCACCATGTGCATGTGATGCCTCTAGGTAATGCTCCTCACCTGGCACACTGGAATGAAGTGGGGCCGGAACTACCAATTCTTTGAGTGTTTCAGTGGCCTTGGACGGGTCAGCAAGCGAATGCTCCCTGGCAGCTCCAAACAATGACTCTATAGATGCAGGAACCCTAATCCTGACTAATCCTGGGTTGTAGCAGCCCAGGCATTGGCTTGGCTACCGGGTGGCCAGCTTTGATATGATCTATGACAAGGCGGGATCAGGTTGCATGAGCTTTCTGGGGGCACCTGGCTTCATGTGCCCTTGCCAGCAGCCAATGGATTGACAAAACATCTACACTCCGATGACTTTTACGTAAACATGTTGATCGGTCACATAACCGAGGCTTTGCGTCTACGTGATCCTCAACCAAGTTCCGGAAGCCTTGTCATTATTCGCTCCCATGTGTGCATCATGGGGAGCTCCAAACAGGGGTACATCGATGAGATCAGTACTCAACCCCTCTGGTCAAATGAACTACAGATCAGTGCAGGAGGCGAATACCACTGTATCCCGGATGCTGGGTACAAAGTATACCTGAAATTGTATGTCATAAGCTAGCTTACAGACATCCACTTGTGCATTCTAGCAATCCAAGGATGACCCTGTTGGCACTCCTGATCTTATCCAGAAATGGTTTGTTTCTGGTGGAAAATCCAATGCAGACATTACTGCAGTGGCACAGACGGTGGCAATGGCTATGCAACCGGGTCTGTTATGTTGCTTGGCCTCAATACGCTTATTGTGTGAAGCTTGTGGATCTGACTGGTTTGTAGCAAAGGTTTACACTGTCGATTTCTGGATGGCACTGCTGGGTGCAAAAACCTGCAAAAGGACAAAGATGATGGGTAACTTCCCGTATTTGGCGGGCCTGGACAAGGGAAAGTTAAGCAAAGGGATCCGGCAACGGAAATTGAAAACCAAAACTAGCCGCCCCTCAGTCGCACCTATAAGAACGAGTAGATGACACTCATATGGATTTGTGCATCCAGCATTACTTCCCTAAGCTTTGGCGACTACTGGGTTTCTGCGTAAAGGTGCTGACGCAGAGCTTTGTGCCCAAACATTATGAGGATGATGGGTCTAGAAATTGAAGCCACACCCCATTACCCCACACCTGCTGTGCTGAGGAAAATACATCGATCGGCATGGAGTTCGACGCTGGTCCGGCCTGGAAGCATTGAAAAAAACGCAGCAGCTCAGCATAATTATATGATGCAGTTCAATCCCGGAGCAAAGCCAGTTCATATTTACTAGCTGCTAGCCAAGACAATATCCCACTGGTCTGGCGAATCAGATTCATATGGTCTACCAGATGGCGTTGAAAGAGCCAGCCCAAGCGCCACTACGTTTTGGTGTTCAGCCTGACAAGAACAAGTCCCACAGCCAACAATTTGCTGACATGACCCTTTCAGATAAATGGGAGGATGCAGATCTCTGCTCGGTCTTCGACTACCTCTATTTCTGCAAGTATGTGAGGACAGCTCTGCTGTTGCATATATGTTTCAATTTTGTAACCTTGCAGCCTTGAGAACAAGTCTTTCTTCACAATGGTTCAGGATCCCGGAAGAGTGGGTTGTTCCCATGAAGAATTTTCGCAGCGAATTATTGGCTGAAGCTACTTGGCTGCAATATATATTAGTTCTGAAAACATGGCGAAATCATGCTAGCCTAGGCTGGTCGCCTTGCCACAAAGCAGGAAATCTGAGCTGCTGCGTCTGCTGAAGACAAAATTCGTGATAATTCGGGAAATTCGGGCCCTAAACCTTGAAAATGAATGCATTTCGGGATTGATGGCGTGGTTTTGCTGAAATTTGGATTTGCAACTCGGGCGCAATTATGCGCAACTCGGGCGCAACTCTGAAAAGTGTCCTTTTCGGATTCGGGTTTGGCAGCTTGCGGTCTTGTTTTCGGGTGCAACTCTCCGAAATTATGACAAAACGCCTCAATTCTGCCTGTTTTGCATTTTTTCCTGATCTGATCCTGGGCTTCCTGGGCTGGCAGCTTATTTGTTTGTATCTGGGGCTGGTCATGTCTCATGTGCGCCTCAATTCCTGCAACACCTTGACTGCGGGTCTTGATCTCTTGAGCACTAATTGTGGAGCTGCTACGAAGAACACCATGGATCTTGCAGCGTTGATTGCAGCTGCTCTGCTAAATTGGCACACATGTCGGCAGCATCTTCTACATGAGTTCTGTTTTACTTGTTTGAATGGGTCTCATCCTAGGCATCGCGGGCGAAAATCGATGCCTTGACCCAGCAACTTGAAAGCCAGGTGCCTGGAAGCCCTCCGCCTCCAGTCTCGCCAGGCCTCGTAGGAGACGCAGCATGGGGGTTTAGGCTGTCTAGGGTTTATATATATAATATAGGGTTTCTGCATGCTGCCTTGAAAGTTCCTCCATATAAGGCGTTATACTCTAAACCTGTAGTCTGAACCTGTTTGCGAATTGTGGGCCCACTTCCCCCTTTGAATTTGCTTTCAACATCGATCATGTGTGGGGTGCTGCGAAAGTAAATTACATGTCTACATCTTACTGTTCTTCTGAATTAGACATGCACCCTCCTGACCCTAAACCCTATACGCAATAACAGCCTAAAAATGGAGACCTTCATGCAGGAGCCCCGATCATAGCTGCTGCCTCTGGAGCCTATGCCGCCTTGCCAGATACATTCAAAGAAGAGTCCCCTTTGCCAGCGCCCCGAACAACCCCTGCTTCGTCAAAACTGATGAGCGTGGACCGCAAAAATTCTGAGTGGTCGCAGGATGCACAGGACCCAAACAAGTTCATGCACGGAGTTTCCTCCCGTGCTTCTTTGAAGGGAAAGGGCGTTGGTGCATCCCCTGCCCCGAGCATTCCCCTTGCCCCAGCATCCCTGCGCCTACCCCCAGAGAATGAGCACGATCGTTCCCCTTCCCCATCCCCAGCGCCCACCAGGGAGGACTTTGAGCGACCCCTCCCGCCGCAAGCCTCCCAGACTGGACGTGATGGTCTGTGGTGGAAGAACTTTAACTGGATTAATTCTCTCTGAAATAGAACTTTGCCCCAAAAGCTATTGCACTTGGTACCCCATGAATGAATCCAACCAAGGTGCTACCGCTACTTCAAGCCAAAGGCCAATGGAGAGTTGAAATGCAGCCAGGAGGCTATCAACGTGTGGAAAACCGATGAAGGAAGGTCTTTTCCGAAGCTACCGCAATACACTCACCAAAGATCATGCAGTCAGGTCATGTTCTTTAGTTGGGGACAACATAACCTAGGAGCGAAGTTTCGGGCGCTCCTCCAGCAGCATGGCAGCTTCGGATCGGTCGAAATGGTCCTGAAACGCTGGAAGCTGAAGATGAAGAAGCTTAAGAAGTGTGGCGGGTGGTATACAAAGATCTACCTGGAGCACGAGGCGAAGTGGACCAAGTCTGGTGCTCAGAAAGGGATGGGTTGTAGCTGTAGCTTGATTAGGGGAAACTCGATCTCTTTTCTTAGAAGATAGTCAGGCTGATTACATCGCGAATATCAAAGCAGATTGATTCCCACATGCGTCCACCTACCAAGACCTGTATGAAATCTCTCTATCCTAGAAGGTATAGACTAGCAGGTCTCCTATAACAAACCATCTGAGGAAGATGATCGCCAGTGCCTGGGCTTGGGCAGATCAAAAGCCGGGCCGCAAGAGGAAGAACCCTGTACACCAAGAGGAGGAGATCCGGTTTGTTTTGCACGGCACTTTCGAGTTCCTCGACGAGGAAGCTGAGCAAACCATGATGGAGGGAGGAAGCATCGAGATGGAGGACCAAAAGCATGAACTCAAATCCCAAACCTTTACACGTAACCATTCTCTTGTGTACGGACATGCTGCTTCACATTCCAGGATGAGACTGGGAGCCTCTTCGATGTGGGCGTTCCCGAGCTCGCGGGCAAGAATGATGAGTCGCTCCTGGATTCGCTCGGGGCGGATGGGGCAACTGACAACTTGCAGGCGACGGTGACAGGCGGAGGGTCGTTCAAGCTACTTGGCTGTAATTTGCTAAGTCAATATATGATGGCTTCAGCTAGCCTGCCTGCATGTCTTATTTCTAAATCATTCTTCAAACACCTGTTGCAACATCCCAGGATCACCTATCCTACAATTCAACAGAATGTGTCGGCATGCTCCTTGCTGCCAATCTTTATTGAAGTGGCCGGCAGAAAAATGGATGCTACGGATCGCGTGCTGGACTGACTGGGGATTTTGCTCATGGGTCTAATATTATTTGAAATGCGCATATTGTTTCATCATGCCTGCAGGACAAGCTGGGGAAGCTTGGCCATGACCGTGCCAAACAGTGCCACGGCTTGATAACTTGCACTGGTAAATCTGTATATAAACCCAAAACTCTAAGCCCTATATAGACCTTAATTGAACCCTAGCCCGACCTTTGCCCTATACCCTCTCCAAGGCTGCAGACCCAGCTGAAAGCCCAGCTCGACAAGCTGAAGAAGCAATATACTTCCATGGAAGACCTTCAGTCTTTGATTGCAACTGGGAAAGCAAGGCACGCCCCTATAGGATCCCTATATAACCTTCGTCATCCGTACTCATTTTAGAATCCGGAACCCCTCAATTATACACCAGGCATTCTGAACCCTGTTCCCTAACCATGGGAGGCCCAATGATGCTTCTTTGCTTGCCGCGTTCTCCGAGTGCACGCGGATTGATATTTCGCTCAACAACTTGGTTGTCCGTGCAAGGCCTATTCCTCAATTGCTGTAAATCCTTACTTATTTTGGGAAACTTTCACGTGAACCCTCCTTGCCGAGGCAGATGAAGCCCGATCAATCTGCGCCATCCAGCGTGGGTGGTAAGCGCCCCAAAGTGAAAGCCTCCCCCAAGAAGGCTAGCAAGCGGAGCAAGGGCAACTGAAACCGTTGCCGGTGTGGTGTGGCCTGCCCCATGCTACTTTAATCTTGCCAGAGCATAGCTCTGGATGTGCAGTGTTGCGCAGAAGCGCGATCGAGGATTGCTAGGACATACATGGATCCAGCAAGGGGTTTCCTCGCACCGGTGCCTTCAAAAGAAAACCTGCATGTTGATTTTGGGTCCACCTTTGTACTGCCACTATATTACTTGCATTCTAGATTAGAATCCTGTTGGCAGGCGCTGTACTTCATGGAGGTGGCCCTTCAGGGATTCTTTCAGGCAGGCGTATGTAAACCCCAAGCCCATACCCTAAATAAAATGTCCTCCACCTCGTAGCAGCTTTGCGAGGCGAACGATTCCAACCTGATGTTGGCGAAGATGCAGACTTGGCTGACGAATTGATTATTGGATTTGAGGAAGGAGTGCTTCGGCTGAAGGTAGGGTTCAGGGTTTATTTGGTTTATATAATGTTCAGGGTTTAGGGTGTTAGTTCAGGGTTTAGGGTTTCAGTTTAGGGTTTAGGGCTAAAGGTTAGTGGGTTTAGGGTTAGTGGGTTTAGGATTTGGGGTTAGTTATGGGAGGATGAGGGCATTCATGATGCCATCCGAAGGGTCAAGCTGGAAGCAAAATTATAGGCATTCCCTAGAAACTAATATTTGGTTTCAATGGGCGCATGCTGTTGAATGCATGTGGTCACACAGCTTGAAACTTGGAGCGTGTAAGAATAAGGCTGAGTATGCAACTCGCGTGGTTCGATTGGCGGGTGTTGCCCATCGGAGACTACGTTTGTGCGGCTACTCGGTTTTCATAGGAGGTTTGAATTAGAATAATTTATATATAATTAAGTATATTCATTCAAAAAGTGAGGTGGCCCCAATAATACTTCTCCTACTTCTATACAATCATCCTGGAGGTGTGATCGACCCACTGTTGAGGGATATGGCTGCATGTGGTAAAGGTCGGAGTGATTCTCACGCATGCGAAAACCTGCACAATCTGCTTCATAAGAGTGGCCACATGCTGCGAGTCAAGTTCAGCTTTGTTTCTACACCGATTCGTTTGGCTGTTCGTGGCAGCTCGCAAAAAGCAATGGTAAGATTCCCTGTGCTGAAGCTCACGGATTGGTGCCGCACTATCTTTGGAATGGGTGGTCACTTCTTACTTGGGGGCCTTTCCCTAGATCATGCGGAAATGTTTGGTGCTACGCTGCAACAATTTTGGAACCAATTCAAAGCGGTAGAACCAAACTTGCCATTCTTTCAGGAGCCTGGGCATGACCTTAAGTATTGCATCCCATACGCCCTTCACGGCGATGAAGGAAGGGGGTCTGGGAAGAAACCAATCATGGTTGTGAGCGCCCAACCCTTGATCGTCTCGCCGGACATGTCGACATCCAACCTCAAGGGGTTGCTTTGGCTGTTCCAGGAATGTCTGTTGATTTTTTGCTGTATTGTTTCTCTTGTCCTTCGTCGGGTAGGTTCTTAATGCTTTTCTGATCGAGGCATACGTTTACCAATCGTCTTTTGTTGACGGTGGTTCCCAGCGGGATGTACATGAAGCACTTTACTCTTCAAACGTTGCTGGGAGCACTCGTTCAGGATATGAGCAGGCTTCACACAGAGGGTGTTCAGGCATCTTGGTGTCCACGTTCTGAAACTGTAGGATGGTTTTGACCCTGGGAGGTTTAAAATTTTAGGTCTAGGATTTTAGCTACTTATAATAGGCATGGCTTTATATACTATAGGGCTCATAGGGTCTCTCTATGTTGGGGGTTTAGCTAGGTTTGGGGGATCTAAAGGTGGTTTAGGGTTCACGTGGTATAATGGGAGTAGCCTGGAAAACGGAATATCTAGTCCCTGAAGGTGACATGGAAAAAGCAGACGTTTACATACAAGCTCATCTACGTGGGAACCAAGGGAGATTGGCCGTTCCTTCGTTCAGCTTTCAAGCTAGCCACAGGGTTCAACTGCCTGCGGGTGTGTCACTTGTGCGACCATGCTGCCACTCGACTCAATTCCTATAAAACCTTATATAAACCCTACCCTATGTCCCTAGCAGAGCCTAGAGTTGCACTCTCCAATTTGTCAGTGTTTAATTGTTCGCGCAGTCACATAATGTGAAGGTTTGAGACCTGACACCTCCTAGGACTGGTGGAATGTGAAGGGCGACATACAGCGCCTGCCTGCAAACTACGTTCCTGAAAACCCTTTCAAGCCTGGAGTTCCTGCAAGCCTTCGGTCACTTCCTTTGGGTAACGATCCGACGAAAGCGCGAGTTGACCCAGCGCATACGTGGGCGATAGTTGGGATTGGAAAGGATTTATATGGAAGTACAATTGTCCTCGGTGCCAAACTTGGCATATTTGGCCAGGGTTCCCTTGAGCTACGCTTGCAACAGGCATATGATGACTTCCAACTATTCTTGGTAAGGACTGGAAAGTATTCATCTGTTGTGGATTTCTCGCACAGGACACTGAAATGTGGAAAGTCGCTTCTCGTGCTTTGTTTATGAAGCCTATAACTGTTTGAAAGCAATTATACAAAAAAATAGTTTCAAACAATACCCTTCGAAGAGCCTTTAGTCATTGCTTCCCTGTGTGTTGTTTTGCTTCTGAACCTTGTACTATATAGTAGACCTGTCCACATCCACAACCCCAAGCCCTAACCTCTTGACTCTTGACCCTACAGAACCCTTATATAGAAGCCCTATGGAGTATAGCGGTTGACTTTCATCATGATCCCCACCATGAATCCACAACCCCCTAGGATGTCGAACTTCCCTGCCGGACTTGGGAAGGGCCATGATGCGGCCATTGTGGGGTCCTGGCTCCACTCTGTTTTCCAGAATCTGGATGACGGCAAGATCGAGCCTGGGAGAATATATGGTTTAGCGGATGGGCAATTATACGGTTTTGTCAATGACGATTTTTTAGGGTCTAGATTTTGAGGAATATTTAGGGCTGAAATCCTTCGAAAAGGATTTGAGTGATATGGGAATATTACATATATAGGCTTATAGAGAGTTGGGGGGAAGTTGTTTTTTGGCCCAGGAAGAATCAAACCGTGAGATTGTGGCGGTACTGAAATTCACTCTGAATGCTGCTCAGTCTTTTTGGACGGAGATCTACTCACATGGCATGTGGATGCCTCGAGCTGCGGCGGTTGATTGTGTGGCACATGGTTGGCATCTCTTAGATCCTGGGTAGCATCTATGAAAACCCAATTAATAAATGGTACGAATAACCCCTATCAATACGAATCCCTCTTCTCAAAAACCCGAATGGCGCCAATAAGGAAGGGTACACGACGCTCTCAAGCTTGACCAGCAAGCGGGGCCTAAAACTCTTCAGGGTACGACCCAAGCTGCATATGTTCTGTCATGTTGTGTGCTTCGTCTGAATTACCGAAAGGAGTTTTCTGGTTTTAGGAATTTCCTAGCCAATGTAGACACAATTGATTATTGCATAGTGCCATGAAAGTATCTAAGGCTGATGTTGCAACACCAACTAGATCAAAACCGAGCGGATGAACACGGCGTTGTGCTAAACATCACAACGTGGATGACTTGGGCTGACGAGGATTACATCGGCCGAGTTTGTCGGGTAAGCAGGAGAATGCACAAACGAACGTGCCCAATACGGACAATGCAGCGATGCCTGGTACTGTACCGACGCCAGTGGTCTAGATGCTTCACCTGAATGCTGAGCACCCAGCGGAAACAGGATGACGTTCGACTTCAGGGTGCGCACGGTGTAGGTGTAGGTGTGTGTGCATGGAAGGCTTCGGGAGGAGGAATATTGGGTGGATCAGGTAAGGGTTGCTACATGGTGGTTTTTCAAAAGCAGGTTTGAGGAATGGGGCCTTCTCCAAGTGTTGATTGTGGGTTGTGTTCTCTTCTCATCTAGTTGAGGCCTTCACTTGGAGCCCCAAAAGAACCTGGTTGTTGCAAACGGGCGCTTTCATTTTAAACGGGCGCTTTTAGAAACCTCATAAACCCCAAAACCCCCGGACACATATTTGTGTATCAAACCGGCGTCTAGGTAGGGTTTAGGAATTTGGGGTTTAGGGTTTCGGTTTGTTAGGTTTAGGTTAGGGTTTTTGGGTTTAGGGTACAGTTTCGGGCTTCCATGAACAGGGCGACCCCAATACAGACTCTCAAATGCTACAGTCCTCATTACAGGGATGTCGGAAGAGTGGCCCTAATTTTTGCAAGCCCTCCACCAAAAAGCCTGCAAATCACTGTGATTTTCCCAAATTCCCCATACATCCGTATGCAACCCCTATATCAACCCCTTTAACAAGACCACTTCTGGAAACCCGCATATGAAACCATTTGGGGAAGATTATGAGCTGGTGTAAGGTTCGGGGTATAGGGTTTCGGGTGAATACGGAGGGGTCGACCTCTCAACCCTAAACCCTAAACACCTAAACCCTAAACCCCCTGAACTCTGGACTCTTCAACCCTTGACGCCTTTGCTGCGCAGAGCTGCTGGGATTAGGGTGCTGAGGATGTAGAGCTTCGGCGCTTGGATGTTGATTTCTAGAAGAAGCTGGAAAGATGATGTAGGGGTTCTTTTGGGGTCCCAATCCACGAATACGGCATGTTGCTGGCTAATTTTGTAGGGCTGCCCCTTCTTATGGAAACTATTTGCGTACCTCCGACAGAGAGTCTGAGAAAGCAATCACAAATTCGACTTAGACCAAACCCGGCAAACACCGGCCCAAACCTCTAAACCCTAAACCCCTACACCCTACACCGGCACATGCACGCGGGCTATGCTTCACAAATCACTACCTTCTTGGGTGTAGGGACATGCGCATCATGAGTGCTAGAGTACGGCAACCCGCACAAAAACGATCAGCCCGTCCACCCTAGTTAGTCCTTGATAAGCCCTTGAATGTATGGGTGGAACTGGCATTCCGGAAGTCTATACGCCAGAACCCTTCTTTCCCGAATCAGCTAGGCGCAAATGGCCTTCATTTTGGGACCCTACAATATGAATACGTATATGACACAAAAAACCATTCATGGTGTTCCGGTCTAAGGCAAGCCACTCTCCACAACGTGTTTCAGGTTCTGGTTGCACGGAACCGCATCCTTGGACCTAGGGTTACTTGAAGTATCCGAAAGCTCAGGGGCGCAACCCGCGGGCTAAAACCTTGAAACGCTCTAGATTTAAACCCCCGGTGTCCCCGGGCAACCTTTAAAAGCTGGAGCCCAAAACTCTATAGGCCGTAAACCCAAACATTAAACCCCGACCCCTAAGCCCCCTAAACCCCTTCCGCTGGAAAACATTGAAATTCTGCAAGCTACAAAGGACTGCCCGGCGATTAGAAACAATATGTATATACACAGATATACATATGTGTATTATATATGGGATATGGGGATGTGGAGGAGCATGGGTCCCTACAGGACCTGCAACCTTAAATTGGGTTCAGGGTTTAGGGGGATGGGATTGCCTGAACCCCAAAAAGTATGTAAAATGATGACCTTTATGGCTATTACTATGGGTTTAGGGCGACTAGTTTACATACTTTTGGGGTTTAGGTAGGGCTCAGGGCCAGGGTTTAGGGGTGGACGGGTGATAAGGTGCCCAAAAGCTCCACTGTACTTTCTGGCTCCTCATCTACGTGGGCTACCTCCACGGCTCATGGTGGGCCTGGAGCTCTCAATCCCAAACCACGACCTGGTCCCGCGAACTAAGTAGATTCAGTTTGACCATATTGATGGACTTGGGGAAGTTACTGAATCCTGAATCCTAGGCACTGGAAGCCTCGAAACCCTAACTTCCAAGCCCTGAACACCCTGAAGCCGTAAATCCCTAAATCCCTAAGCCAACCATCATATTTCCAAAGCCCTAAACCCTAACCCCTAGATCCTAAACTCCTAAACCCTAAATCCTAAACCCTAACCCTAAATCCTGAACCCTAAGCACTAAGTGCTAAACCCCTAAAACCTAAACCTTAAACCCGTAAACCCCTAAATCCTAGACTGTAAACCCTGAACCCTAAACTCTAAACCCTAAAATCCTAAAACCCTAACCCCTAAACCCCTAAACCCTAAACCCTAAAATCTCCCAA